ATTCGTAGGAATCTAAGAGGCCATCCCTGTGTGTGGGCTGTGTGGAGCTGTTTGCAGGCTCAGGAAAGACCTGGGGGTGGGTTCTTAAACTCTCCTCTTTGACGGACCTTGAGGTTCTACAGAAACCGGAAGTGAAGGCAGAGGGAAAGTTGTAAACTCTAAATCCTGGCTGAGTTTTGAAAGCGTGTCCCAACACACACAGAGAGCACCTCTGTGCAGCAAAGACTGGGTGGGTTATTGGTTCCAGACATTTAAGGAAATCTCTAACCCATCATTAGCTGACCACTAAGCCAACTGAGTAGAGACTTCACTGGCCACACAGAACAAGAAATAGAGAATTTAAAATTAGTTCAGAAAAGTCACTAGGCAAAGAAACAACTACAATACAAAACCACAACACAAACCCTGAGGAACTAAGACAGTCTGATTTCCAGTGGCCATATTATCTGACTCGAAATGTTTAGTTGCCAACCAGAGAATATCAACACATGCAAAGGAACAAAAAAGTATGGCCCAGACACAGGAAAAAATTAATCAATGGAAACTGTTTCTGAGGGTGGAGTTACTGGACGAATATCGCATATTGGCTAATTCAGAATGTTCACAGAATTAAATGAAACTGTGTTTAAGAACTAAAGGGAAGAGGCAGAAACATGTCTCACCAATTAAAGAACATCTGCAGTGAGACAGAAATTATAAAAAGGACCCAAGTAGAAATTCTGGAGTAGAAAAGTACAATAACTGAAATCAAAGGTCACTACTGGAACTCAAGGGCAGGTTTCAACAGGCAGAAGAAAAATCAGGGAACATGAGGACAAGTCAGCTGAGCTGACCCAGGCTGAGGAACAGAAACGAGAATGAAGAACAACGAGCAGAGATTCAGAAACTTGTGAGGGACCATCAAGTAAACTGTATACTCCTAATGGGATTCCTAGCAAAGAAGAGAGAAGTAAAGGACTAGAAGGAATATGTGTAGAAATATGGAAAACTGAATACACCTCAAATTTGACAGAAAATATTAATCTATACATCAAGGAAGCTCAGTGAACTCCAAGCAGGATAAAATCAGAGATCTACACCTACACGTCATAATCAAACCGTCAAAAGACAAAGAATTTTGAAAGCAGCAAAAATTATGAGAGATGCACCTCGTCATGAACAAAGCATCCGTCCTCAATCACATTGACATCAGATTTCTACTCAGAAGCCATAGAGGCCAGAAAGCAATGGGATGACGATAGTCCTCAGGAAGCAACTGGAGGATGTGACAAGCTTGGGAAAGGGTCTCCGGGCTCCAGCAACTGCCCAGTCAGGGTCAATGGGGAGCCCAGGGAACACCCTGTTGCACCCCAACACCCAGATTTAAAGTGGCCATGGCCAGGCCAGAGCCTCGGAATCTGGGCTGTGCTGTAAGCCGGGTGGGGACCCTGAGCTCCACAGGGAGAAGCCTCCACCAGAAGAGGGCCCGTCCAGGCATCCGTGAGCATTGATGAGAACCAGGGCACTTATGTTGGGTCTGGGTGTACATGTGATGGAATCCCTCTGCCTTGTGTGCAAGTGTGTCTTTGTTCATGTGAGTGTTGAGAGTGTGGCTGGCTTAGTGGGTGTGTAGATTTCTGTGCGTGTGTGTGCATGTGTGAGCATCAGGGTAAGCGTCTGGGAATGAGTGGTTTGTGTGTGATGAGGTATGTCTGTGTGTCAAGTGTGTGGTGTGAGGTTCAAATGGAGAACCTCAGCCCCCTCTGTCTCCCTGCCGCCCCCTGCAGGCGTGGTTCCTCTCATCATCAGGCAAGTGCCAATGACCTTACAGGGGAAGGCCTCTCAGGAGGATACAGGTGTGATAGGGGAAAGCAAGGACTTCCTCTGGGGACGAGGCTGTGACCACATTGGGGAGTGTGAGCCTAACCTGACAGGTGGGCGGCAGGATCAAACCGGACTCAGTAAGATTCTGGGGAGTCAGGCTGGGGGTGGGGACATCCTTCTCCTCCCCCAACCCCACAACCCAGATAAGCAGCAGGAGAGGACAGATCAGGACTTCTCTGGCCACCCCTGCACTGACCTTCCCTGGCCCCTCCCTGCACCCTCTGGCAGCGCAGCCATGCCCACAGATAGACTCAGGGCAGAGGACAAAGGCCAGTCTCAGCTCCCTTTATACAGGGGCCCAGGCTGGTCGAGCCCTCAGGTTGGTGGGAGAGTCCTGCCTGGCCTGGTCCTAGTTGCCTGGTGACATGCGTGTTCCCTGGGGGCGCTCACCCCTCTACCCCAGCAGCTTCACCAGAGCAGAAACCCTGGGCCGGCAGGCTGAGTGTGTTTCCAAAACAATAAATCTCAGTAAGTTACATGTAGAGCAGTAGCTCAGAGCCTGCGTTTTGAGATGGCCCCGAATACAGCTCTGTGACTGTGACCTCTAACGTAGCCCCTGAGACTCACAGGACAGGACATTCAACTGAGTCCAATGAAAGGCCACAGGCTGGATCTAAGAAGTCCCCAGGGTGTTCGTGGGTCTTACCTTCCTGGTCTGTTGAGTGGCCTCAAAACTGGTCTCCCTGCTGACTGGAGGCCCAGAGACCCCATATACCACCAGGTCATCCTTTGACCAGACTTTCCAAGTGCCTCCCTCCCACTGCCCCTCACCCCCTGCACAGGACTCTGCTGTGGCCCTGTGGTCCCACTGCCAGGTCAACTTCAACTGTGGTGCCAAGTCAGTCAAAGTCCTCCAGGTTGGCTTCCCAGAGAGTCCTGCTGCAGCCTGGGGCAGTGTCCCCACGACCCTCAGAGCAGTCCCCGCACTGCTGGCCTGGCCTGTCAGCTCTTTGCCTTCCTGCTGCTCCCCTTGGCATGAGCACCTTGGAGCAGGGGCCCAAGATGCAGCATCGTCTCCCTGCTAGGCTGTGAGTGCCCCACCAGCACCCAGCACGTGGGACGTCCAGCGGGGCTGGAACACAGTCCAACGCCTGAGCAAGGCAAGATGCAGGGAAGGCCAGGTAAACTGAGGAAGGCCCACTGGGCCCCAGCAGGCTACACCCTCAGGCACTGGACCCTGCAGGAGAGTGGGGCTGCGGGCATTCAGAAGGGGAGGAGCAGCTGTCACAGGCCAAGCAGGAACTGCAAACTTTGAAAATCAACAGCAAGAGGCCCCGGCCCCTGGGGAGCTGTCTCTGGGTGGCCATCTCTGAGTGGTGGATGTCCAGAGACTCCCTGGGAAGAAGCTGGTCCTCTTACTGTTGGGGGCTGAGGGAGGGAGAGAACAGGGGAACACGGTGCTGGGGAGTTCCTCCTGCAGGCCCTGCTTCATCTGGGTGAGAGAATTCGCCAGATGTCTCCAGACTGAGAACTTGCCTCACATACACCAGGGATGGGGGAGGGGGCCTGACCCCCTGATCCCTACCCAGAAATGCCCCTTACCCACCCTCTGGGCTCCTGCCCCTTCCCATCTGAGTGGGTTTTAGTCTCAAGGTTCCCATCAGCTTCACTGATTTAAAAACTCAGCCTCATAACCTACCCCTTTTCTTCTTGAAGAAGGAGGGTGCTGAGGCCAGTGGGCAGAGGCCCTGCCCTGGCATGGTGTGGCCACCCCTGCTTGGAGGCTGAGCAAGAAGCTGAGCAAGAGGGAGAACCTGTTATCCATATTTCCAGCCAGACAGTTGCAGGCCCTGGAGAGGGGTGATGCACAGATTTGCCTCTTTCCTGGAGGGACCTCAGAGTCACAGTGGGAGTGAACCTGGCCCAGGGAGACGGAGGAGGCCGGTAACGGGGGAGGCCCAGGAATCCATTCCGTGTGGCCCTCAGCAGGCCTGTGCGGGTGGAAAGAAATTCCTTGCTTTCCATCTCCTTGTCTTCTGGAAAGAGTTTGAGCAGCTGATGTTCAAGGACAAATGACACTGAGGAGGAAGCAGGCCCACTCCTCTGGGGACAGAGACACATCCTATGCTAAGCCGTACTAGTACCTTGAGCTTCCTGGCAGCTCAGCCAACGAGGGCGAGTGCCCTCCCCACATCTCTGTGAGTCGGGAAAGTGGACACAGGCAGGAGGAGATTCAGCACCTGGGTGGCCTCAAGAGATAGGAGGTCCAAGGACCAGCCTGTATCCAACTTAGGAAGGGTCTCCTGGTCTTCAAACTGGTTGGTTGGGTGACTAGGGAGCTCTGTAAACAACTCTGCTGCCTCCCCACCCCCAGATTCAAACGTGTGATGGCCACGACCACAGGGAAACCGAGGAGCTGAGCCAACCCCCAGCCAGGTGAGGGTCTCACTGATACCAACCTCCATGCAGGGAGAGGAGGGAGCCCAGGGGATCAGTTCCAGGCAACCACTGAGGACAGGTGCCCTGGTGATCGGTTTATGTGTGTGTGTGTGTGTGTGTGTGTGTGTGTATAAATGGTACATGTGTGTGTGTGTAGTTTGCTGGGTGTGAAAATGTGTGTGTCACGTGCTTTGTCAGTATGTGAGCAGGTGGGTTGTGTCAGAATGTGTGAGTGCTTTGTGAGTGTGTGGTCTGTGTCTGTGTGTACTGAGTGTGCTAGCATGAGGTCAGGGACACGGAGAACTTCATTCCCCCTATGCTCCCTGTGGTCCCTCTGATCATGTGAGCTCCCCACAGCCAGGGACAGTACAGACCTGGGGGGTGAAGGTCACTCGGGAGGAGGCAGGTGAGATACGGGGAGGTGAGGATGTCTTCTGGGGATGAGGCTGTGACATCATTGGGGAGGGTGAGGCTAATGTGACAGGTGGGTGGCAGGATCAAGTCCAAAGACCCCTGGTTCTTCCTACACAATGCTGAGGAGTCAGGCTGGTAGTGGGGACACACTGTCTCTCCCCAACCCTCACCCAGGGTGACCACCTGGAGAGGGCAGCAGGGACAGAACCACTGTGCCACCCCTGCACTTACCTTCCCTGGCTCCTCCCTGCACCATCTGGCAGCATGGTCATGTCAACAGGTAGGCTCAGAGCAGAGGGCAAAGGCCAGTCTCAGCTCCTTTATAAAGAGGGCCCGGGGTGGTCACACCCTTAGAGTGGGTGACAGTGACCTGCCTGGCCTGATCCTGGTGCCTGGTGTGGTGAGGGGCCCCAGTGTGTCCAGAGGAGCCCAGTGTGCACTGAGGCAGCCATGGGGCTGCTGACCTGGGATAAACTGGGGCCTGTGGCTGTGGCTGTGGCCATCTTCCTGCTCCTGGTGGACCTGATGCACCGGCGCCAACGCTGGGCCCCACGCTACCCCCCAGGCCCCATGCCCCTGCCTGGGCTGGGCAACCTGCTGCAGGTGGACTTCCAGGACACGGTTTCCAGCTTTACTCGGGTGAGGAAGGTCGAGGTGGGCACAGAGGTGCTGAGGACCATACATGTCAGCAGACAGTGGGTGGTGGTGAAGCCACAGGCTGGACAAGGAGTCGGTGGAAAGGAGGAGGCAGGTGTGAGAGGCCTCCTGGGGGAGGGCAGCTGCGCAGGGCCTGGGGGACAGTTTGAATTTCCCATCAAAGGTCAGAGAGGGCAAAGGCCTGGAGGGGATGGCCCTTGGCAGAGTGTTTGGGATGCAGTGGGACCGAGCATAAGTTCTGTGAGCCTGAGTCCCTTCTGAGGACATCAGGAGGAAAGGTCCTGAGATTGTGCGAGAGGAATCTGGTCATGAGCCCCAATGAATTCAGGAAATTGAGGTTGGGAGGGGACAGTGAGCAGGTTCAAAGCTTTTGCTGCTATGAGACCTTGGCCACCACTGACCTTTGTGAATGTCACTTTTTTCACCTATGAAACGAGATGGTAGCTTAGCCCACCCGACAATGTTGGTGACCTCTGTAAAGTCGTGGCTAGGTGGTCGGATACTTCGTGATGTCCTTCACCATACAGGTTGTGATCCCTAGTGTCACAAGGCCAGGTAAATTCCTGGCACCCCACCGCTGCTGCGGCTCGGGGATTCCCCAAGACTAGAGCCAGGAGACTGCGTCTCAAAGCTTAGGGTGGGGCGGGACTTCTCCAACGCCCTTGACCCTGGCCTGCAGCTGCGGCGCCGCTTCGGGGACGTGTTCAGCCTGCAGCTGGCCTGGACGCCCGTGGTCGTGCTCAACGGGCTGGCGGCCATTCGCGAGGCGCTGGTGCACCGCGGCGAGGACACCTCCGACCGCCCACGTGTGCCGGTGATGGAGCACCTGGGTTTCGGGCCGCACGCGGAAGGTAAGAGGAGGAGGGGAGGACAGCGGCCCAGCGGGGACGGGGCCCACAGTGACCCGAGACCCGGCAGGGTCAAGTGGCTACAGGGTGGTGGACCTGCGGTGCAGGGAACAGTCAACGAAATTGTAGGGGCGGCAGGTGGAGGAAGGAGTCTGTGCCAAGCAAGAGTTGGGTGGGCGCTGTGGGCGGGGCGTTAAGCGAGTGGGCGGGCCCGGCCATTGGGAGCAGGAAGGGGACGTCCGGGTGGGCGGGAAGGAGGAGAATGGAGTCAGTGTGGGCGGGGTAGGGGGCGGGCCAAGACTTTCCGTGAAAGGGAGCGAGTCGCGGTGGGCAGAGGCAAGAGCAGGATCAAGACCTGTCCCTGTAGGGAGAGCTGGCGAGCAATGTGGGAGGGCAGAGGCTGGGACCTGTCCCCAGCCAGAAGGATATGCAAAGTGGGCGGGATTTGGTGGCAAGGAGAACAAGGTTAGAACGGGCGGAACAGGGGCCATGCTGTCCGAGCAGGTGCCACGCCTTCACCAAACCGAGCAGCAAAGAAGGGAAGGGGAACGGGGCCCAGATCTGACCTGTAGCAAGGGGGATGGCGGACCATTCCTTGAGCAAAGCGTGCGCGCAGAGGCGGGGCCAGGGCACAGCTGAGCCACGCCCACGTCCGCCCCGCCCCCAGGGGTGGTCTTTGCCCGCTATGGGCACACCTGGCGGGAGCAGCGGCGCTTCTCCGTGTCCACCCTGCGCAACTTCGGCATGGGCAAGAAGTCCCTGGAGCAGTGGGTGACCCAGGAGGCCTCGTACCTCTGTGCCGCCTTCGCCGACCAGGCCGGTGAGTGCTGGGCTGAGGGACAGGAGACAGGAGTGGAGGCTGGGGAGGAGGAGATGGAGGCGACCCCCTGACCTGCACCGTCCCCTCCCAGGAAGGCCCTTTAGCCCCAACGCCCTCCTGAATAAAGCGGTGAGCAACGTGATCGCCTCCCTGACCTTCGGGCGCCGCTTCGAGTACAATGACCCGCGCTTCCTTAAGTTATTGGACCTAATGGAGGACATACTGAAGGAGGAGTCAGGCTTCCTGCCCCAGGTGAGGGGTGGAGAGGGCCAAGGAGCCCTGCAGGCGAGCTCCATGGAATGGGCCTCCGCGGAGGAGGATTTGTACAGACGAGTGTTGGGTCAGCGGGCCCAGGAGGGAGCTAAGGAACCTCTACCTCCTTCAGTGGAAGCCTCTGGAACCCGTGAGATGTAGATTTTAGGTTTATCCTCCTGGGGCCCAGGCAGGAGAGAGGGTAGAGGTATGGACTTCAGGAGAAGTCAGGTCAATCATGGTGACACCTTGGGAGCGGCTGGGACTTGACTGTCCAAGGTGAACAAATGAGCAGAGGGAGGACCCAGGACCCCACATCTATGGCCTGCACAGGTGCTGAACGCGATCCCCATGCTCCTGCACATCCCAGGGCTGGTCGCCAAGGTCTTTCCTGGGCAGAGGGCCTTCATGGCCCAGCTGGATGAGCTAGTTGCTGAGCACAGGATGAACCGGGACCCGGCCCAGCCTCCTCGAGACCTGACTGATGCCTTCCTGGACGAGGTGCAGAAGGTGAGCCGCCAGGGACACAGGTGGTGGGTTGAGGGGCCCATGAGGTGAGCCCAGGTAAGATGGGGCCTAATTATCCCCCAGTGATAAGGTATCCAGGCTGATGGGTACAGAGTGGGAGGCCACGGGGGGACTTCCTCTCCCTTCCCCTGAGCCCACCCTCTCTGCATGGCCCAGTCCAAGAGGAACCCTGAGAGCAGCTTCAATGATGACAACCTGCGCCTGGTGGTGACCGACCTGTTCTTTGCCGGGATGGTGACCACCTCGACCACGCTGGCCTGGGCCCTTCTGCTCATGATCCTGCAACCGGATGTTCAGCGTGAGCCCAGCCAGGGGTCAGGTGGGATGGGCTGGGGAGGAGGGGGACAATCTAGAGGCCCTGAGCTTGGTTTGGCCACCAGGAGCTCTGAGCAGAGGCTGGGCCCAGGCTCACAGGTCAGAGTGACCTTCTCCTCCACGTGGGCACAGCCCCTGAACAGGAGTCAGGAGGAGGGGGGGGCAGCCCCCTGGGTTCTGACTACTGTGGGGACGCTTGTCTGTCCAGGCCGTGTCCAACAGGAGATCGACAAGGTGATAGGGCAGACGCGGCGACCAGAGATGGGGGACCAGGCCCACATGCCCTTCACCTTGGCCGTGGTCCATGAGGTTCAGCGCTTTGGGGACATCATCCCACTGGGTATACCCCACCTGACATCCCGTGACATTGAAGTGCAGGGCTTCCTCATCCCCAAGGTAGGCCTGCGGCCCTCCTCAGCCCAGCTCAGCCCCACCTGTCCCCTGGTAGCCCCAGGATGGCCATTGCTAGGTGGGGCCAGGATGTAACCCAAGCCACGTAATTCTCATTTCCACTGGCACCACCTCTCTAGCCTGGGTGGGTGTGGATATGAAGCAGAAGCAGGGTTGGCAGTGTACACTAGGAGCCCAAGTTCCAGGGTTGGGGTAGGGGTAAGAAACACTAAAATGTGCCCAAGTTTGTTGGAGGAGTCCGTGCATGCAGCACAGGTGGCAGTGAGGGCTTCCATGGGAGGCAGGTCACTTGGCCCTCCCATGGGGACAGAGAGGGTGCCGTGATCTCCTTGGGTTTTAGTGACTTGAAAGAGTCCAAGTGTGTACCAGCCAGAGAGTGTGGCCTGTGGGTGTTTGGTGGCAGAGGTCAGGGAGTCATCCAGCCCCGACCCCACCCATACCAGGCATCTCCTGCCAGGGGACCACACTCATCACCAACGTGTCATCGGTGCTGAAGGAGGAGACCATCTGGAAGAAGCCCTTCCGCTTCCACCCTGAGCACTTCCTGGACGCCCAGGGCCACTTCGTCAAGCAGGAGGCCTTCATGCCCTTCTCAGCAGGTGCCTGTGGGGAGCCCGGCTCGCTGCCCCTCCCGGGGAGTCTTGGAGGCGTGGAGCCCAGGCCCCCAGGCTCGCTGACCCCCATCCCCACCCACAGGCCGCCGCTCGTGCCTCGGGGAGCCCCTGGCCCGCATGGAGCTCTTCCTCTTCTTCACCTGCCTCCTGCAGCGCTTCAGCTTCTCGGTGCCCGCTGGGCAGCCCCGCCCCAGCGATCATGGTTGCTTTGGCTCCTTGGTAACCCCATCGCCTTATCAGCTGTGTGCTGAGCCCCGCTAGAGGGGGCACCAAGCCCCCAACCTGCTCCTTCACGGGGGCCCTATCTCCAATAAACTGGTCTGATGGCTCCAACCTGGCTTGAGTCCCACCTGAGCCCCCTAAACAGCCTCCGGCAGTGATGTGGCCTCAGTACTCTCTCCAGGGACAGATCCTACCTCTCCTTGATCCAGCCTCACCTGGCATTTGACCCCATTTGACAGACGGATATACTGAGGCTCAGAAGATGACAGCTTGTCCCCTAGTCACTCATGCAGACCCAACACTGGCTGCCCTGGTTGGTGACTAAGTCCATGTAGGTCTTGACTCCTGCGTGTGAGGGGGCGGGAGGAGTGTGAATGGGCTTCTGATGGAATCAGCCCAATCCCGGGCTGGGTGAGCGCCCTCGGGTTCAGGGATTCACTGCAAGGACTCACGGGAGTCAGAACAGCTGTTATCCTTACGGTTATGGTTTTCCAGAGAAAGGATCCAGACAGAATCTGCAGTGGTCAAAGGCACATAAGTGGAGTTCAGGAAAAGTGGACACAAGCTTCCAGCTGTCTCTCTGAGGATTCGTGCAGACAGTGCTCAGTTCTTTCAGCAGTGATGTGTGACACAAGCAGAGAGTTTGCTCACCATGGAAGCTCCCCCGAGTCTCTGTGTCCAGGGATTTTGTTGGAAGTCAGTCACTTAGACTGCGAGAGCCACATGGCTGACCTCAGTTACTCAGTCTCCAGCCTCTCTCAAAGTCAGTCAGTGTGGCCCAAGGTCCCACCATCAGTCACACTTTTGGCATAAACTGTATGGTGTGACCCGAGTCCTCAGATACAGAGAGCCTCTTGTCTGTCAGGTCATCCCTCAGGCTTAAGGGATGTTTAACAGGTGCTTGTCAAGAACCAACCGTGTTGTTTTGGAATGTTCAGGGACTGAAAACCCCAAACCTACTGACTAGGTTTTCACTGCAAAGACCAGCCCCCTCCTTTCTGGCTCCTACAGCAAAATGAGTATCTACACTTTCTGTGTGTGTGTGGTAAAATACACAGAACATAAAATTTGCCATCCTAATCATTTTTGAGTTTACAGTTCAATGCTGTTAAGTTCTCATTTTGTTGTGCACCCATCACACCATCCATCCCAGAACTTTTTCATCCTGCAAAACTGAAACTCCGTCCCCGTTAGACAATAACTCCCCTCCGCATGGCCCCTGGCAACCACCCTTCCACCTTCTGTCTCTGTGAATTTGACTACTCTAGAGACCTCATATTAGTGGGATCATAATACAGTATTTGTTTTTTTGTCACTGAGTTATTTCATTTAGTGTGATATCCTCAAGCTCCATCCATGTTGTACCATGTGTCAGGATTTCCTTCCTTTTTTAGGCTCAATAATGTCCCTCTCTATGTACAGACCACGTTTGCTTTCCCTTCATCTGTTGTTGGACCCTTAGGTTGCTTCTATGGTTCAGCTACTGTGAATAACGCTGCTGTGAACATGGGGCACAAATACCTCTTTGAGACTCTTTTCAATTTGCGCATATATAACCCTGGGACTCTTTCCCACAGCAGCTGTGCCAGTTTACACTCCCAGCAGCAGTGCGCAGGGATTCTGATTCTCCACGTCCTCACCAGAACTATTTTCTGTTTTGATGACAGTAGCCATTCTAATGGGCGTGAGGTGGTATCTCATTCTAGTTTTGATTTGCACTTCCCAAAAGGTGAGTGACGTTGAGCATCTCTCCATGTGCTTATTGTCCATTTTTATATCTTCTTTCTAGAATTGTCTATTCAAGTCCTTTGCCCATTCTAAAATTGGGTTGTGTGTTTTGTTGTTGTTGTTTTCAGTTTTAGGAGTTCTCTCTAGATTCTAGATATTAATGCTGTATCTGACACAGTCATGCCCCACATAATGACACGTCCCTCAATGATGGACCTCACGCACGACAGTAATATTAGTACCATATATCCAAGGTGTGTAGCAGGCTATACCGTCTAGGTTTGTGTAAGTACACTCTTACTTTCCCACAACGACTAAATCACCTAATGACACCTTTCTCAGAACCTGTCCCCATTGTTCAGTGACACATGATTGTATATGATTTGCAAATAATTTCTCCCATTCCATACATTACCTTTTTACTCAGTTGATAGTATCTTTTCACGTGCAAATTTTTTAAATTTTCCTGACATCCAATTTGTCTTTTTCTTCTTTTTAAATTATTTTATTGAGGTCATAAAGTTTTATAACATTATGAAATTTCAGGCGTACATTATTATTTTTCAGTTTCTGTATAGGCTGCATTGTGCTCACCACCAATAGTCTAATTTTCATCCGTCACCATATTTATGTGCCCCTTTACCTCTTTCGCCCACCCCGCAACCCCTTCCCCTCTGGAAACCACTAATCTGTTCTGTTTGTCCATATGTTTGTTTATCTTCTATATATGAGTGAAATCATGCGATGTTTGTCTTTCTCTGTCTGGCTTATTTTGCTTAACATTATACCCTCAGATCCATTCACGTTGTCGCAAATGGGACGATTTTGTCTTTGAGCAGTATTCCAATTTGTATATATGCCACATCTTCTTTATCCATTGATCAATTGATGGGCACTGGGGTTACTTCCACTTCTTGGCTGTTGTGAATAATGCTGCATTGAACATAGGGGTGTGTAAGTCTCTTTGAATTGTTGATTTCCTGTTCTTTAGATAAATACACAGTAGTGGGATAGGTAGATCTGATGGTATTTCTATTTTAATTTTTTGAGAAATCTCCGTACTGTTTTCCATAGTGGCTACATCAGTTTGCATTCCCACCAGCAGTGCATGAGGGTTCCCTTTTCTCTACATCCTCTCCAACACTTGTTATTTCTTGTCTTGTTAATTATAGCCATTCTGATATGTGTGAGGTGATAGCTCATTATAGTTTTGACTTTCCTTTCTCCATCCTATGTTCTTGGAACCTTTGTGGAAGATTAGCTGTCCGTAGATGTGTGGTGTTGTTTCTGGGCTCTCAGTTCTGTTCCATTGATCTGTGTGTCTATTTTTGTGCCAGTACCATGCTGTTTTGATTACTATAATTTGTAGTATATTATGAATTCAGGGATTGTGATGCCTCCAGCTTTGTTCTTTTTCCTCAGGATTTCTTTGGTCATTCAGGGTCCTTTCTTATTCCATATAAGTTTTAGGATTCTTTATTCTATTTTGATGTAGTGTGTCATTGGGATTCTGACTGAGATTACATTGAGACTGTACATTGCTGTAGGTAATGTGGACGCTTTAACTGTGACTATTCTCCAATCCATGTGCGTGGGATGTCTTTCTGTTTGTTGACACCATCTTCTAGTGCACTCAATAATGTCTTATAATTTTCAGTGTACAGGTCTTTCACCTCCTTGGTTAAATTTATTCATAGATGTTTTATTCTTTTTCTTGTGATTGTAAATGGGATTGTATTCTTGAGTTCTCTTTTTACTAGTTCATTATTAGAGTATAGAAATACAACTGATTTTTGTAATTTGATTTTGTACCCTACAACTTTTCTCCTGTTGTTGCTTATTTCTAATAGCTTTTGTGGATGGATTCTTTAGGGTTTTCTATATATAGAATCATGTCATTGGCAAATAGTGACAGTTTTACTTCTTCCTTTCCAATTTGGATCCCGTTATTTCTTTTTCCTGCCTAATTGTTCTGGCCAAAACCTCAAGTATATTGAATAAGAGTGGCGAGAGTAGGGAGCCTTGTCTTGTTCCTGTTCTGAGAGGACTAGCTTTCAGTTTTTCACTGTTGAGTATGATGCTGGCTGTGGGTTTGTCACACATGGCCTTTATTATATTGAGGTGGAGCATGGATTTTGAGATGGTCCCAAATGCTGCTCTGTGACTTTCACCTCCTGAGGTGACCCCTGAGACTCAGTCTCCTCCATGCCTTGGGAATCATAAAACCAGCTGCCTTACGGGGCTGAGGGGAGGACACGCAGAGTGAGCAGCAGTGACTGGCACGCGAGTGCCCCATCAGTGGGAGCTGCAATTGCACAATGATTGCAAAGGCCGTTGAGCTCATGGTTGTACTGTGTGCTCATTGCACTCTTGAGGTTTCCTCAAGGCCACCCTGTCCTAGACAACAGGCCCCTAGTCTCGGGAGACTCTGCCTGAATTACAGGCATGTCGGTCCCTGCCCTTCATGTCCACGTTAGGATGACTGCTTGGGAGGGCATGACACATCCAAAACAAAGAGTGGATAAAGACAATTTGTCCAAGGTCACTGTGTGACCAACATTCAAACCATCCTGCCCCCCTTGCTAACACCACCTGATTCTCTGACAGTCCTGGGTAGAAAGGTGCTGCCCAAGGACAGGACATTCAACTGAGGCCAATGAGAGGCCACAGGCTGGATCTGGGAAGTCCCCAGGGTAACTTTGGGTCTTGCCCTCCTGGTATGTTCCGTGGCCTCCAAACTGCTCTCCTGGCCGTCTGGAGGTGCAGCAAACCCAGTTCCCCACAGTCCAGTCCTCGGCCAAGAGTGCCGAGGTGGCTCCCTCACGCTGTCCCTCACTCCCTCACTCCCCCTGCACAGGACTTTGCCCTGTGGTCCCACTGCCAGGTCACCTTGGCTTGCAGTGCCAAGCCTGCCAAAGTCCTCCAGGAAGCCTTCCCAGAGAGTCTGGCTGCAGCCTGGGGCAGTGACCCCACGACCCTCAGAGCACCTCCTACACTGTCGGCCTGGCCTGTCAGCTCTCTGCCTTCCTGCTCCTCCTCTTGGCATGAGCACCTTGGAGCAGGGGCCCACCATCATCTCCCCACCAGGCTGCGAGTGCCCCGCCAGCACCCAGCACGTGGGACGTCCAGCGGGGCTGGAACACAGTCCAAGGCCTGAGCAAGGCAAGATGCAGGGAAAACGAGGTAAACTAAGGAAGCCCACTGGGCCCCAGCACACTACACCTTCTGGCAACCAACCTGGAGGAAAGAGGGAATGTGGGAATTCAGAACGGAAGGAGCAGCTTTCACACCAAGCAGGAATTTCAAATGTTGAAAGTCAATACCAAGAGACCACAGGTGACCATCTCTAGGTGGGGGATGTCCAGAGGCGCCTTGGGAACAAGTGGTCCTCTTACTGTTAGGGGTGAGGGAGGGAGAGAACTGGGAGGACATGTGGGTGGGAGGTGCCCCCTGCAGGCCCTGCTTCATCTCGGGGAGAGAATTCTCCAGCTGGTTCCAGGATGAGACCTTGCCTCACATACCTCTGAGATGGGGAAGGGGGCCTGACCCCTCCCAGGAAATGCCCCTCCCCCACACTCTGGGCTCCTGCCCCTTCCCATCTGAGTGGGTTTTGGCCTCAGAGTTCCCATCAGCTTCACTGATTTAAAAACTCAGCCTCAATCCCACCCCTTTTCCTGTTGAAGAAAGAGGGTGCTGAGGCCGGTGGGCAGTGGCCTTCCCCTGGCATGGTGTGGTCAACCCCCTGCTTGGAGAGGGCAAGAGAATGAGCAAGAGGGAGGGCCTGGGAGCCACATTTCAGCTGGAAGGAGGCACCCACTGGCCTTGGGTGGTGCCAGGGTTCGCATCTTTCCTTGAGGGACCACAGAGGTAGGGTGGGAAGGGATGGAGCTGGAGCAGGGGGGACTGGACCCAGGAAGACAGAGGAGGCCGGTAAAGGGGGAGGACCTGGAATCCATTCCGCATGGTCCTCAGCAGGCCTGTGTGGGTTTAAGGAAATTACATTGGCCCCACTTGCTTTCCGTCCCTCTGTCTTCCAGAAAGAATTTGAGCAGCTAACTTTCAAGGACAAATGATACTGAGGAGGAGGAACCAGGCCCACTCCTCTGGGGACAGCGTCACATCCTATGCTAGGGCACCCTAATACCCTGAGCTTCCTGGCAGCTCAGTCTAGAAGGGCGAGTACTCATCCCACATTTCTCTGAGTCAGGAAAGTGGACACAGGCTTGAGGAGAGTCATCACCTGGGTGGCCACAAGAGTTAGGATGTCAAGGAACAGTCTGTAACCAACTTAGGAAGGGTCTCCTGGCCTCTGAACTGGCTGCTTGGGTGACTAGGGAGCTCTGAAAACAACCCTGCTGCCTCCCCA